ATCGCAGTGGACGTGAAGGACTATAATGCAATATGAGCTCGCTCAAGTATTTAGCAAGTAAGTAATTAGCTAGATTTTAAAGGGGTCATGAACTGAGAAACCAAAATTCCCTTGATCTTTTGACATAGAAGAGGTCATTGTACTATAAAAACATTCTGTAAGTTTCAGAACTCAAAACTTTCTCATTAGTGTAAAAACGGCCTATATTGAAGCCAGTCTTTCAAAATGACAGGTTTTGCAATGTACTACTCTATGATGTAATAGAGCGGGTAAACCCCGCCTCTGCAGAAGAAGATCAACCCCTGCTTCTACAACGCTGCCTGTTTGCCCCACCCACCGATTCGTGCATGTAGTGTAAATAACCAGAAGGGCGAATGCAGGTCTACACAGAAACCAAACGATAAAGATGCTCTGAAAACAAGACGACGCTGTATAGTGCCAAGATGTGGAAATAGTCTTTGCATTGCCTTCCTTCTGATCCCAGCATTAGGAAAGAGTGGATGAACTTTATTTTGAATGAAGATCCAGACTGCGTCAGTAAGAACTTGGTCCTTTGTTCAGTTCATTTTAATGCTGATTCGTTTACAAACAAGGCACAATTCGACGCAGGATTTCCAGAAATATTGAAACTAAAAGATGCTGCTGTGCCGACTATATTGGATCCGACAGTAAGTGTGAGTAACGGTTTTCATTACTTGTTCACTATTGCTTTGTTTATTATTACAGATCATTTGATATGCAGTTATTTATGCATTTTTGACCTAAATCACAGCAGCGCCCATCTATGAGGAATATACGCTGTCAAACATACACAACTTTTAGTCAATCATAGCAGTGGGCGTTAATTCCAAGTCTAAAATCCGCCACACCTCTTCAAACGGAGCGTTTTGATGAGGGGGATTAAAAACAGGACAGAAAATGGCCTATTACTTTTAAATTATTATGTTTTTTTATATAAAAATCTTGATAACATTATAAGAGGACCTCAGAGAACAGTACAAAATAAAAACAAAGGCAGTTAATAACCCCTTTAAAATGTATTCGATGTTTAATAGGGAGCTAGGGCAGAGTTGACAGAATCAGGCTAATATGGTCATAAGCGTGCAGAGCAACCACCCAATAAAGCATTACAATAATATAACCTTGAGGTCATGAAAGCATTAATTCACATTTCTGCATTTGACATTGAGAGCATAGGTCGTAATTTATACACATTTTTAAGATAGAAAAATGCAGTTTTACAAATGCTAGAAACATGGTTTTCAAAAGAAAAATTGCTATCAAATAGCACTCATAGGTTCCTAACTGATGACAAAGACGACGCTGTATAGTGCCAAGATGTGGAAATAGTCTTTGCATTGCCTTCCTTCTGATCCCAACATTAGGAAAGAGTGGATGAACTTTATTTTAATGAAGATCCAGACTGCATCAGTAAGAACTTGGTCCTTTGTTCAGTTCATTTTAATGCTGATTCGTTTACAAACAAGGCACAATTCGACCTCTACCTCAAACGCTGCAATCTACCTCAAACGCTGCAAAAGCAGAGCTGTTAAAATCATCAAGGACTCCAACCACCCTGGTAACTGTCTTTTCATTTTGCTGCCATCTGGTAAGCGCTTCCGTAGCCTGATGGCAAAAACCGAGAGACTTAGGAGGAGCTTCTTCCCCCAGGCCATCAGGCTCCTAAACTCAAACTCAGTCTCTTAACACCAACATGACTTCACTTAATTATCAGTAAGACACTTAATATACTGACATTGTCACTTGCACACAGCAATTTCTGTAATATTTTATTTATTTACTTTTTTACCCCTATTGCTGCTATGTAACTACCCTGTACAACCTGTTTGCACATTCTTCTCTTGTATATTCCTGCTCATCTTAATATTTATTAAGTCTACAGTATACTGTCCTGCGCATTTTATTTTATTCTTATTTTTTTTTAAATCTTACTTTTTCCATAACTATATTTATATATAATTTTCTTGATTTTGTATTCTTTAATAATTGCACTGTCCATGGAGCGGACCTGACTTACATTTCACTGCTGGTCATATATTCTCTATATAACCATGTTTGTGACAAATAAAAAATCTTGAATCTTGAAGAATTAACAGAGCAGCCATCAAGTGTTAGACTGTGTTTTAGCTTATTACATGTGGAGGTTTTTGGTCCAATAATTAAAACCTCGTTTTTTTTTTCTTCAGAATTTAGCAGTAGAAAATTACTAGTCATCCAGTCTTTTTATATCAACTATGCATTCTGTTAGTTTTGCAAATTGGTATGTTTCATCAGGCCACGAAGAAATATAGAGCCGAGTATTAACAGCATAACAGTGAAAGCTAACGCCATGTTTCCTGATGATGTCTCCTAATGGTAAAATGTAAAGAGTGAAAAGCAACGGTCTTGGTACTAAGCCTTGTGGTACTCCATACTGTACTTGTGATCGGTATGATACCTCATTATTCACTGCTACAAATTGATGACAGCCAGATAAGTAAGATTTGAACCATGCCAATGCAATTCCACTAATGCCAACATAATTTTGTAGTCTACTCAAAAGAATGTTGTGGTCGATAGTGTCAAACGCAGCGCTAAGATCCAGTAGCACTAATAGAAAATACAACCATGATCGATGATGAGAGCAGTCTCAGTACTATGATACAGTCTAAATCCTGACTGAAAATCCTGACTGAAAATCCTCACAGATACTGTCCAAATTACCAAAGCCTCAGTAACCATGATAAAAGATCTAGTCAGTTCAACAGATCATAAAAGACAGTTTAAAGGTTTGTTGTTGAGCTTGTTGGATTTACTTCCTTCATCACCCACCGTAACACCACCAGGGCATCGCCGGTAGTCCTTGTACCCAAGAAAGACAGAAGCATACGTTTCTCCATCGACTACCAAGCTTTGAATGCCAAAACTCCCCTAGATGCTTTCCCTATTCCGCAAATCAGTGACATCATTCCTTCACTACCATCTTTAGTACTTTGGACTTGAAAAGCAGATATTGGTAGGTAGGGATGGAGGAGTCCAGCATAGCAAAGACTAACGCATCAAAATTGGAGGCCATAAGTGAATTTACAGTTCCCAAGAACGAAAAATGAGTAAAGGTTCCTTGGCCTTGCAGGTTGATACCATCATTTTATTCCTCATTTCTCAGAATGTGTCACACCTCTGCATGCTTTAAAAAAGGACTCTGCACGTGACTTTGGCCTTGGGACAGTGCTAACCCAGGAGTCTGATCAAGGAGAGAGTGTAATAGCCTATGCAGCAAGACTTCTCCATGATGCAGTGAAGGCTTACTCTATGGCTGAAAAAGAATGTTTGGGCAGTTAAAAAAAAGTGGGGGACATATTTGAAAGGATGTCATTTTGAGATAATAACCAACCATTCTGCCCTAACTTGGGATTTTAATCACCAAAATCTTTCATCACGACTAACAAGACGGGCAGTTAGATATCAGAGCTTTACTGTAAGGTGTAGAAAGGTTCAGTGTCACCTGGTTCCAGACATCCTATCTAGGAGCGTTGGCGAAGAAGTCCCAGGTACCATAGCCACTGTACAAGCCTTTAGTGTGCAGAGTAACTTTCCAGTAACCTGGGAGAACACTGGACATGGACAGAAGGAAGATGTTTCATTGTAGCCATTCTGAAATGAAGCAAAATCTATGAATATAAAATGCAAATCATGCTCTTTACATCATTCCGAATGATTATTTTACGATGTACTCTTGATAAGGATGGAGGTCAGAATCTTCAAGTTGTAACAATGTGAGTGTCTGCAGTGTGCTACTTGCAGTGCGTTTCTGTGTTTGGTTGTGTTGCGAATTTTTGCAGTGTTTTTCTGTTTTTGCAGCACGTTTCTGTTTGGTTGTGTTGTGAGTATTTGCAGCATGTTTCTTTTTTTGTAGCGCATTTTTGTTTTTGGTTGTGTTGTGAGTATTTGCAGCACATATGTTGTCAAACTGATGAAGATGTTCTCTTAATTTGCTGGTGATTTTTCTATTTGCATGTGTTTTCTTAAGTTGCAGCTCGTCGAGCTCTCTCGACCACCGTTCTTAAGCCATTATCAGAATTGCATTTTTGTCAGCAATCCTTCACTTGTGTTTGTGTACACTGCATTGCCATTCATGGACTTGAGTTACATTCAATGCTGGAGTTTCAGGTTGAATTCATTGTCCTTTTATACCAATAGCCTTTTTATGCAGTGTCTGATTTCTCATTTTATGCTGGGTAAACTGTGCACATACTATTATGTAAATTCTGAAAGTTTCTTTAAATGAACGTAAAGTATACTACTATGTTCCATTTTAGGCATTTTATACTTGAAATACACCTTTAACTGTACTCTAACTCTTTGCCTGCCAGCTCTTTTTTAAAAGTTGCCAGCCAGAGGCAGGATTTTTGATCATTTTTCACAAAAGTTTCATGGGCCCCAGAATTTTCTGTTGTATCAACATCTGAACATACAGCATATCAAATGAAAGAACTGAACCTCTGCTTTTAAAAAATCAATAAACATTTTATTATAGTGTTACACATTATTTTTTTAATCGACACTTGAATGTGGGTAAGTTTCATAAAACAGCAACGTTTTGAATAAAAAGCTGGAAAAAAGTCATACTTTTGTTAAAGGCTACATCTGGATCGATGATCAAAATATATATGGACTAGATAGAGTACATCAACACCCTCAGAGCTTCACGGTCATTTCCTCTTCATGGGTTCAACATTTCATTGGGTAACATTAGGCAGTTTTGATTTATATGTCTGTTTAATGATTGATGATCACGTTAGATTACATGTGCATAAGCAATGCTTCTATCGCTTGATTCTGCTTCTTCACCTGTGTAGATTAGAAGTATACTTCCCTATTTTTAGTTGAAAAGAAGTATACTAATAAAACACTTAAATGGTTAGTTCACCCAAAAATGAAAATTAGAAGAAAGTCATATACACCTAGGATGACTTGAGGGTGAGTAATTTATGGGCTAATTTTCATTTTTGGGTGAACTAACCCTTTAAATAAACTTATTTTTTTGTAAGGGAACTCTGCTGTAAAGGAATTCTGTAAAACCCTATTCAGATGGGATTAGGCACTTACCTAAAGCTAAAAGAAGTTTTGTGCCTCTAACAAGTACTTTTGACCTTCTTTTTGATCTGAATGATATGCTGAAAACCCTTGAGGTTTGCCACAGACTTGTCCCACTGCCTGGAATGCAACGGAATGCTTCTTCAAGTGCCTCCATACTCGTAAAAACCACAAAAAAAGCTACTTTTAAACAGTAAAAGATGGAATATTTACTTACATATTTACAGCTGGTCTATTCGCATGGGATTAGTTTTACCTGAGGTAATTCTTCTGGATCTTTTTAGAGAATGTCACCCATAATCTTTACTGACATTGTCCATAATGATTACTGAGATGGCACATTCAGACGAGTAACACTTACTTTATCCCACCTCTCCATGTAAAACTAATTCTGTCCGAATAGGAATTAACAAAGAACACAATCAGGTTCTCACATTTACATGATTTTTCATATGAATGTGTTAATGTAATGTTTTAATTAGACAGATCACAACTGAACTGTCTTTCTTCAGAGTGAATGCGCAGATGATTGTTGAAATTGCCATTTTCCTCAGTGTGGCAAGAGGTTTGGAATTTCTTTCCAGAATGAGTTTGCAAATGCCGTTTCAGGTTTGTGTGATATGGGAAACTGATGTCACACTGAAGACACTTGTAAGGTTTCTCTCCAGTGTGAACTCTCATGTGAATCTTAAGGTTTCCTTTATTTGTGAAGCTCTTTCCACACTCTTGGCAGGTGAAAGGCTTCTCTCCAGTGTGAACTCTCATGTGATTCTCAAAGTTTCCTTTGTGTGAGAAGCTCTTTCCACACTGCTGACATATAAAACAGTTCTCTCCTGAGTGACTCCTCATGTGTAGATCAAGGTGCGCTTTATACCTGAAACTCTTTTCACACTGATCACAAACAAACGGCTTCTCTCCAGTGTGAATTGTCATGTGGCCATTGAGGTACTTTTTCTGTTTAAAACTCTTTCCACACTGAGAGCATTTGAACGGCTTCTCTCCAGTGTGATTTCCTGTGTGAATTTTAAGATTTTCTTTTTGTGTAAAACTCTTCCCACACAGCTTGCAGGTGTAAGGCTTCTCTCCAGTGTGAATTCGCATGTGAATTTTAAGATTTTCATTTCTTTTGTAGCTCTTCCCACACCGTTTGCAGGTGTAAGGCTTTTCTCCAGTGTGAATTGTCACGTGGGCATTAAGGTACTTTTTCTGTTTAAAACTCTTTCCACACTGTGAGCACACGAATGGCTTCTCTCCAGCATGGATTCTCATGTGAATGTTAAGATTTCCTTTTAGTGAGAAACTCTTCAAACACTGTTTGCAAGTGAAAGGCTTCTTTCCACTGTGAATTTTCATGTGGACTTTAAGGTAGTCTTTTCGAATAAATCTCTTTCCACACTGCTGGCAGACATAAGGCTTCTCTCCAGTGTGAACTCTCATCTGGAATTCAAGGTATCTAGTTTCTGTTTTTTGAGTCGGTGAGTAAGTAAAAGATTTTTCCCTGGCCATAAAATCATGACATTTCTCATACTGATTTTTCTCTTCCATTTCATTAAAGTCTTGACTCTCCTCTTTCAGCGGCATCAGGTCTAAGGTGAAAGGAAACAAAAACAAGAGAACACCAATTTAACGGCACAAAGACATTAGAGCCTTTAGACAGTAAAACATCAAATCCAACCGCATGTTCTAGATTCTATACCCAATAAACAAATAAAAATTAATCTCAGAACCTCGTCAATATTGTTAATTCTTTGCATTCTTTAGGACACATCCCAAATTCTTTCAAGCTGGCAGTTATCAAAGCCAGGGCTCCAGACTCATTCTTTCCACTGGTGGCTCTTTTGCGACTAACTTTTTCAGTTGGTCGCATGAGCACATGATTTGGTCGCAATTGTTTTTTTTTTTGTTTTTTTTTTGCTACAACATGGAATTAATCAATGCATGCTGATTAACTTTTATCATAATTTATAGTTATATGGAAACGAAAGAGGTTAACATTCAACCTGTTCTTTTTCATTAGTAGTATTATTTGTGATTTTAATTTTGTGAACGGGAGATCCTCTTTTGCTATGTTACAAGCCGCAGGCTTCGGATGCTATCGCTTTTCAATTTGCGATATCGTTGTCACGTTTTACAAGAAAAGACAATTGTCTGTTTTGCTTACATCTATACCTTTCACTTTTTAAAATGAAAACAAAAGATGGATTCATTGTTATTCTTAATTAAAAAACAAAACAACAATAAAACAGTAAGATACAATGACAAACAAGCTTACAAAACATTTATTAACAAAAATGAATAAGATGAGCCATGGCATACACCACATGCTGTATTATATACCAACTAATAAATTACAGAGCGTTTAGCAAACACTGAGGAATCAAATAAAAAAAATAAATAAATAAAAGAGAGCCTCCATAGCATAACGTGAGGTAAACAGCAAAGATAACGCAAATGAAAACAAAAAGAAAAGTAAAACTAAACTTGCTGTCAGTGACAGTGCTTGCATGTTTTTTTCCTCACAAGAATACCAACATGTTCACCTTTGGTTTAAGAAGCGGTCTTTTACTTTACTTTAGCATAAAAACCATCCACCGTTTCCTCAATATTCGCGTCATTTTTGCTGCGCGCAGCTTTCGTGCTCCTGCCGGAAGTGCTGTGCAGTTCAAACGAGTAGCACGGTTTCGTTATGCTTTCAGTTTCGTTTGCCGTTTGATGTTTCACATAGGCAACAGAAATGGCAGCGCTTATGAGTTAAACAACGCGGTGGTCGCGCCAGTGCGACCGCTCACAAAATTTAGTCGCACAGGCAGAAAAAATGGTCGCAGTCTGGAGCCCTGAAAGCCCTTATAAAAACCCACAGTAGAGCACTGGATTGGGACCATCCCGCAGGTCCCAACACAAATCGCGATCAGCCGGTTTTACATTTGCTCCGGATGGGAGTGGGAGATTTAACAAGAAGAATGCAGTCAAAAAAAGTGATGTGTGTTTCGCGATCAAATAATTTTTTTAACCTGTTGTTTTTACTGAACCGGTCGAACCAGTTCACCAAATCGGACTGAATCGTTCAAAACTTCTCGAGTCAGCACAATTTTCTAAAGTTATTTACTCAAATCACCAGTACACTGAAGCGAGAACGGTTTCTTTCAGACACGTTCGATACTGAGGACCGATGAGCTGAGCATGCCTGTAATTTAACTCAGAGGGACAAAAAGCATTTTCCTTAAGTGTTTTGTTGAATATCAGAAAGTGTAACAAAATAAAACATGTTGGAAACATTTTTAACAGCTTTTTTAAAGATAGAAAACAATGAAAGGATCGTACAACTGTCAAACTAAACATTTGTTTCATCAATAATGCATGATATTTTCAGGAGCTTATTTTATTTCTAAATTTGATATAAATCTTGACAAACGTTTGCCAAGGTTTTATGGGTGCAAAGTAAATGTGTATGTGTCAATCAGTAGAAACCTATTAAACATGCTGGAAAAATGCTCGAAAAAAAATGGAAAATTTGGAAAATTTGAAAAAAATGGAACTAAATGGAGAACTGTTTCTTTTGGACATGTTCAATATTGAGAACCGATTAGCTGGAGTTACGAGCATGCGTGAAACAAGCACTGACTGAATTCAATTGTTTCTTATGGAGAACTGATGGTGTGCTTATACTATGAGCGCTGGTCAACTGGTGACTTGAATGAGGGGGCAATTTGGCAAAACTTACGTTTATTTAATAAATAAAATGGAAAAAATTCTGGAAAATGCAAACGCAACTAGTGGGACTAGTTATATAAAATAAATTTTTACATGATGCACATGCAACAACTGTTCAGTCTAAACATATAAATTAATTTTACTATTGTATATGCACATTATATTTTAAGCATTATAAGCTGGATCCAGGTTTCTGTAAAAAGTGGATGAAGGCAGGTTTATTTACAGCTGTCAGGTAGAAGAGAGCAGAGCAACGGGTCCAGGTGAGTAAGCGGGGAATTGCAAGGGTTAATGCGTCTTATCTGAGTCTGAGAGAGTTCCTTTTATCTTTCAAGGGGATCTCGGGGGAACGGAGGAGCACGAAGACGATGGAGCACAGGAGCGGAGGAGAACGGGGAACAGCACGCTGGAGCTAGAGGCAGATAGGTATCACAGGTGAGAGTCAGGCTGTCAACATGCAATGCTTGAGACCAGAAAATGACAGTGCGGGAAGAGTGCAAGGATATAGTGCTCTTGATGAGTGGAGACAGATGGTGGTGATCAATAATCAGGGGATTGGGATCTGGTGAGCGTGGTTGGCGGTGATTGGGATCTGGTGTGCGTGGTTAACGGTGACTGTGACTCCCTGACAGTACTCCCTCTTTCAGGGGCGGCTCCTGATGCCCGACTGCAGATCCAGACCAGAACATCATCCTGGGCGACCCACAATCTTTCCTCTGGCCCGTACCCTTCCCAATCAATGAGGTACTCCAGATGACCGCCCCGCCGCCGGGAGTCCAAGATATTCCGGACGTGGTAGATAGAGGGTTCTGCCATGACTTCAGGAGGAGGAGGCACTGCGGGTTCGTTGGGACCTAGGGCAGAGGGAAACACAGGTTTGAGGAGTGAGACATGGAATACTGGGTGGATACGATACTGGGCTGGGAGTTGGAGATGGAAGGTGACCTCATTTATCTGCCTCAGGATGGTAAATGGACCTATGTAGTGGGGACTCCGCTTCCTGCAGGGCAGGCGGAGACGCAGATCCTGAGTCGAGAGCCAAACCGTATCTCCTAGGCGACAGACGGGCGTTGGACCGGTGGGCATCTGCGAAGGCCTTATGTCTCCGCACTGCCTGCTAGAGGTGGACGTGGGCTGAGTCCCAAACTCCCTCACTCGTTCGGAACCAGTGGTCCACAGCTGGAACGTCGGAGGGGTTTTCTGTCCAAGGAAACAGACGGGGTTGGAAACCGAGTATGCACTGGAACGGGGTGAGGCCTGTGGTGGTCTGTTTCAGGGAGTTCTGCGCATACTCGGCCCACGGGAGGAAACGGGTCCAGCTGTGTTGGTTGGAATGGCAGTATGTCCGGAGGTCCCTCCCAATCTCCTGTATCTTCCGCTCAGTCTGGCCATTGATCTGGGGGTGATATCTGGAGGAAAGGCTTACTGACTTGAAAAATTAATTGTGGCCCACGGTCGGAGACGATATCCTCAGGGATGCCAAAGTTGCGGAAGACGTGCTGGAACAGGGCTTCGGCTGTCTCCATGACCGTGAGGAGGCCTTTGAGGGGAATCAATCTGCAGGCTTTTGAGAACCGATCGACTGCAACAAGAATGCATGTAAACCCTTCGGAGTTAGGGAGATCGGTCACGAAGTCGACTCCGACGTGGGACCATGGACGACGTGGGATGGGCAAAGGAATCAGTTTACCAGTGGGGAGGTGATGTGGAGTCTTGGAGATGGCACAGACTGAGTAGCGGCGGACATACTGGGACACATCCCAGGCCATACTGGGCCACCAGTACCGAGCTTGTAGGAGTGAGAGAGTACACTGGCTGCCTGGATGTCCAGAGCCCGGGGAAGCGTGCAGTGAGCCCCTGAAGGGTTGGCCGCAGGGAGGATGGAATATAGGTCTTCCCTTCTGGGCCTCCCAGCGGAGCAGGTTCGGAGAGGGTGGCGACACGGATCTGCTCTACTAGAGTCCACTGAGCATAGCAATGGTAGGAGAAGCCATGTGCCTGTATGATGGGACCCAGTGATGTCGTGTATATGGATAGGACTGACAAGGATGGCTGGAGGGAGGATCGGCTCTGGTGCGGTGGGTTTGTCGGGAGAGTGGATACGAGACAGGGAGTCAGCTTTGAGGTTCTTATCTCCAGGACGGTAGGTGATCTTGAACTGGAAACGGGTGAAGAACAACGCCCAGCGGGCCTGGCGGGGGTTTAGCCTCTTGAGACTGCGGAGATACTCGAGGTTTTTATGGTCCGTAATCACAGTAAAGGGGTGTTGAGCTCACTCCAGCCAGTGGTGCCACTCCTCTAAAGCCAAGTAGTTTCCGGTTTCCGATGTCATAATTTTGCTCTGCCGGGGAAAGCTTCCTAGAGTAGTAGGCGCAAGAATGGAGGCAGGACGGCTCTCCATGGTACTGTGACAGCACTGCTCCCACACCGGTGGTAGAGGCATCCACTTCCACCAGGAACGGGAGTTGGGGATCTGGGTGAGTGAGGATGGGAGCAGTGCAGAAGGCCTCCTTGAGCTTCTTGAAGGCGGCCTAAGCTTCAGGGGATAGGGACCCTAAACACTCAAGGATAGGGACTTGGGTAATCGACGGAGCATGGAAGTGAGAGGGGCTGAGAGGAGACTGAAATTCTGGATGAATCTGCGGTAAAAGTTGGCAAATCCGAGGAATCACTGGAGTTCCCTGACAGACTGTGGCTGGGGCCAGTCACAGATGGCCTGGACATTTCCTTGGTCCATCTGAATACCATCGGCACTGATGATGTAACCGAGGAACTGTACCGTGGGGCGGTGGAATGCACATTTCTCAAGCTTCAAGTAGAGGTGGTGTTTCCGGAGCTGCTGGAGGACCTGCGTGACATCGTGGCGATGTT